AACTCGACTTTCACTTATGCCAACCTCCCACACTTGCATCTAGCAAGTGGGCCAAGAATTAAAATTGGATAATGCCTTATAACCTCCCATACTCGCTTTCAATAAGTGGGGCTAAAATCCCTCCCTCATCCATACTAGGTAGATGATGCTAAAATAAAACATTTAGTGCCCTTATAATATATCAAAATGTGCACTTTTTCCACATATCTTAACACCTCCAACACCATGCCATGAATAGTGCAAATACAATTGCAATAGCAACTAAATTATAAATTCAATGCCACAAATAATGCATGAATTGCCTTTAAGAAGCCATATTACATGTAACATTATACTCACTAAACATTTCTTGTTTAACATCCAACTTTAGAGTGATATTCATGTAAGGATTTGAAGACTTCTATATAATTATTGTGATTGCTAGAAAAGACTTAATTATTTCATATACTCACAATTTTGCATAGGAAAAATCAATAGTGAAAATTTGATTTCTTATATTTAAAAAATTTAGGATAAAGCACACGACAACATATCAAAAGGTATATGGTGTAAACTTCATAAAATCCTTACACAAATATATTTTTATCCATAACATTTTATAAAACTACTATAATTGAAATCATCTATAAGAGTTTATAAGTCTATCTCTTGCTCTATAATATCTTAAACATGCTTGATGGATGAATCCTGAGCTTAGGTTGCCAAAACATCTTCATCTTTTTCTCTATGCTTTCTTCTCTTCCCTTTCTCCTCTTTTCTTCTCCAACAAGGTGGCTGGGTGCAATGGCTTAAGGTATTATAATTATATGAAAACTACTAATTTGATATGGTGCCACGATGTTAGCCTCCTTGACATTTTATTTATCCACAAACTCTTCCAAATTCTCCTATAATTTTACCATTAGAGTGCTTGACAACTTGGCAGTAACACCCATCATCACTACGACACCACCTAGAACAATAACACATGTTCAATTTCTTTCCCCCATCGTAGAGCTCAATGTTATGATGCTTTCCATTAGGCATCGTAATGCCTTCAAAGAAGATTTTATGAATTGAAATTTACTTCCCTATGCCATCTCCTAACTTACATAAGGGTTCATTAGACACTCTGGGACTTATATTTACTACTTAAATTAAACTTAAATAATACTTCTCTTGAGCATTTAGATAATTTTATTGTCATAACAATGGATATTATAGTGTAGGACTTAAGTTTTTGAGCATTTAGGTAATTTTGAGTTTGACCTAGGGTTAATTTGGTGGGGTCCAATATGTACCTAGAATCACTAAGGAGTATCTCAAGGTTCATAAGAAGTTCTTGGGTCAATATAGCATTGATTGGGCTATAGATAGTCCAACCATACCCATGGGGAACATCTATGGATTCATTTAAGTTTTATGTATTGGATTGATTCCAACCTTTCACAAATGAAGTTGTGAAGGGTCAAAATACTCCAAATGAATTTCAAGGGGTCAAAGAGAATTTCCTAAGAGTCCTATATACCTTTTAAGGCCAACTTAGGGTTAATCTAGCCTAGTCTTGTAGAAAATGCATCCTAGGATTTTGGATTGATTTTCTAGGGCTGACATATGTTAAGTCATTAGGAATCTATCTAAGAGGGTCCTATAGGGAAAGACTCAATACTAAGATAAGAAATGTAAATGCTAAGGGATGACCTCATTAAAAAATGAGTTCAATAATATGTATATTACATTGTATCAACACCTTTCTTGAAGGAATGATATTATTTATAATCGATGATAAGTATTAAAACAATCATTTCAACTAACCCAGGCCCCATTATTTTTTTCCTTTACCATGTTTCTCTCATAAAAACTCATGTTTTGCAAATCCTTTTGTATCTATTTGCATGGTGAGTGTTTGTATAAATGATAAGGCATTAAACTCTCTGACTTTTTTTATATATATAAATGATAATGCATCACACTCAACTATAAGTAAATCTAATAATCCTAAAGTGTTCATTGTAAGTAGGAATTAGTACAACAACACACAACAACATCAAGCCTTTATCCCACTATGTGGGGTCGGCTAAATGAATTTTTTCCCTCCATTGTATCCTGTTAAGAGTCAAATTCTCATTTAAATATAATAAAGAAAGGTTTTTTTCTAATATTTTTAAACAAGTCTTTTTAGGTCTACCTCTATTTTTCATAACATATGCCAAATCTAATACATTTACTCTCCTAACATAGTCATCAGAAGGTCACCATTTCACATGACCAAACCATCTAAAGTGAGTCCCTCTAATCTTATTTGTCACTATAACTACTCTAACCTTTTAACGGATATGCTCATTTTGTATCCTATCTCTAAGAGTAAATCCACTCATCCACTTGAGCATCCTCATCTCAACAACACTTAACTTAATATTATGCTTCTCTCTTAATGGACAACATTTTACGCTATAAAGCATTATAGGTCTCACCTCTATCTTATAAAATTTTCCCTTAAGTTTGAGTGATACTTTTCTATCACACAACAAACCCGAAGCATACCTCCACTTTAACCATCAAAATTGAATTTTACTAATAGTATCCCCATTTATTTCACCATCACTTTGAATAATAGAACCAAGATATCTAAAATGAGTACACTCATTAATGACTTGATTGCTCAAAGTCAAAAAACCCCAACCAAATATATTACTATTAAAATTACACTCAGTGTATTCAGTTTTAATTAGATCCACTCAAATGAAAACCTTTAGACTCTAAGGTTGACCTCCATGATTCAAGTTTACATTCAACTCCCTCTCTAGTATTATCAATAAGAAGGATATCATTAGCAAAAAAGCATACACCAGGGTACATCCTCTTGCAAATGTCTAGTAAAAACATCTATGACTAAAGTAAAAAAGATTAGGGCTTATGGATATTCCTTAATGTAATCCAACTAAAATAGGAAAATACTTGGTAAAACCACCTTGTGTTTGAACTCATGTAATAACTCATGTATACATATCCACAATGAATTGAATATAAGAATTATTAATCCCTTTCTTTTATAGAACTCTCCATAGCACTTCTCTTGGAACTTTACCATATATAAGTAAGATTTAGTAAATCCTGTAAATTCAAATTTAGTAAATTGTAGTTAAATCTTAAAAATTATTTGTCTTGACAGAGTTAACTCTAGTTAAAGCTTCATGAACTATTTGGCTATTTAATTTAGGATTTAAGTTTGTTAACTTAAATAAGCTTTTAATAATACTGAAAAACTTGTTAATATTTGTATTTAATTAATATTAATTATTAAGATTAATTTATTTGTACATAATATATATGATTGGTTGTTACTAAATCTAATTTAAAATTTTTATCAAATATGATTTAATTAATTGAATAAAACTAATTTATATTAGTATCCCAATTAGTTATTCATTAATAAAATAATAAACTAATGTATCACAATTAAAAAATCTTATCCAAATTTTGATAAAACATAAAAATTAAAAATTCTCTCTCCCACATTATTTATTGTTATTATTATAACAATTTGAATTTAAGCACCGTACCTTACCGAAGAAGAAAGAAGAAAGAGAGAGAAGGTTGTTTGGGACTTTTATATCAGTCAATTTTGTTTTGAGATTTCTTCTTTTCATTATAAATAACTCAAATCTCATTTTAATTTTTAATGATTTTGAGTATTATACATATTTTATTGTATTAAATAGAATTAACTATTTCATACTACATTTTAATTGTGGCATTTACATAAGTAAGAAATACTAGCTATTAACAATGTACAATGGGTTGGTTGTTAAAACATAATATCCTACATAGGAGAGTGGGCTGATAGGCTTTTCTTTAAAGATGATTTATGATGTTATCCCAGTTTTAACCTATAATAGATGATTGATTATACTGATAGGCAGAGAGTGATGACTCTTTATTGGTTTAAGGAAGCCACTAATAATGATAATTGATTAATTGAATAAGTTATAATTGATATGACTATTGGCCAACTGGAAAATAGTTGGGGTAAAAGATGTTGAAAATACCATGTTAAAGCTAGATGTCATCCTACCTTGCTAAATCATATATTGATGCATATATACAATAATTGATAATTTTGAGTTTTATTGTTGTTATTTGATAATTAACTACATTGATTGCTATTGATTATATTAGATTGAACATTTTATATTGATCCTTTAATCATTGCGTTGAAAGCTTTAATGTGTTTTGGATTACTATTGGGCTTTTGAGCTTATTATGTAAATCTTAATGATTTTAGGTCAAGGAATAGATTAAGGCCAAATGGAGTGAGATTGCGAGATATCCTGAAGTTTTATTTTAACTTTATTTGTATTTTTATTTTATTCTTTCTAGTCAGGAGCTTGTGATAGAATAATAATTGTACTAACCTCCTCCTATTGTACGTTGATTTTGAGAATTAATATAGTGCAATATTTTGAGATATGCGATTGTTAGTTACTTTCACTAAATATAAATTTATCATTTTGATGATTTATAAAAGCCCTGGTTAATTAATTAAGAAGATCGGATAAATAATTCTTTCAAATTTGATTCTGGGGCATCACAGTTATAGCCTATGAAAAGGAAAAGAAAAGATAAGAAAAACACTTCTAAATTTCTCTTCTCATTGGTCTTTGCCTATGCACTTCTAAGAGCCTAAAGCCTTTCCAGGGCTTACATTGCCACATATCCATTTTTTAATTCTACTTCGGCTTCTCGTGAAGTTGAGTTTTACTTCTTGATTGGTACTATCTTCCTTTGCTCTCTCATTTTCAAAGAGATGGATACCTACAACTTCAAAGTGGTGGTGCTTGAGCTAGCATTTAAGTTTCATTTGTGATAGTTTTCTTATAGTTTTTTAAAACAGTTTTTTAGTAAATTTTTTTTGAATTAAAAATTTATACTAAAAAAATTATTTTAAAAAATAGTAAGAAAATTATTCCAAATGAAGCCTTAATTAGGTACCCATCAAGCTTAAACTTACAAAAGTGTCCTCTCGCTCTGAGCCAATGCTGTGGTTTCCGCTCTAATGGCTCCTAATCGATTCTGCTTTCTCTTTTCTACTTCGGATTATCTCTAGCAGCAGAAAATATAAGTGCTGTAACATTCAATAACTTCTCTTCTCTTCTCTCTTCTTCTTCTTCTTCTTCTTCTTCTTCTTCTTTGTTTCTGAAATCGCTTTTTCGAATTTTCTCAATCCATACATGGCCGGAGTCGCCGGTCTGTGCTTCACTCCACCCTCCAAGCTGACCTGCGTTCCTGCTGGTTGTCCGCTGGGGAAATCCTTATTTAAGCCGCCCTCTCGTCTCCGTTTATGTAAAGTTCCCCGAGGAGGATGGCTAGTGGCGCGGTTCGGCAGCGGCGGTTATAAGCCCAGGCCTGCTGGCGTCCCCAGGAGGAGTTCAGGAAAATCCCGCTTCGTGGATTCCGATTATGATCAGGCCCTCGATCTTGACAGGATTCAGTTAGTTCTCTCTCCGACTTGATGCGTTATTTGACTTCAAAATTTCAAAATTTGCTTGGCATTAGTAGTTTGTGTTCAAGCATTATGATTGAAAACTCATTGGGTGAGCTGGGTGGGCTATTCAGAAATCTTGGCTATTATGTCTTTGTCTGGGTTTAGAATCTTTAAATTTTGGAGATGGTAATGGCCAGGGGATTGCTTGATAGGTGGAGCTGAGATAGGATAGTAATCTGGGATGATTAAAAGATTCAACAAATATTGGAATTTCAGCATCGCCTAAATGGCGATTTCAAGATGTTGATTAACGTGCTAGAATTACATGAGGGGCAGAATTTCACATGTAAGTAACTAAGAATGCTAACTTTGTTGAGGATAAGCGTGTGAAGGTAGGTCGTCATAAGAGTTATAGCCTATCATTCTCTAACATTTCATCACGCTTTTGATGGTGATTATGGGAGTCAGAAAAAGAAGAGAGAACATAAAAAATGACAGAGGTGACAAAAGAAAGGTTGGAATGTTGATTTCCCAACCATGCCCACCCCAAATATGAATAGGAGGGGTTAGGTTGAGAGGAAAGGAGAAAGATTGAACAATTAGAGGGTCGTAATTTGGCAGTGCTAGTGTGATGTTTTGGATAATTAAAAAGATAGGGGGTTGAGATTTTGTCGCTTGGATTTGACAGGGTTAGAATCCATCTAGTAACACTTTAGGTACTTTATAAGGAGGATTTATGTAATACTGGGTCCCAATTTAAAAAGATTTTGTTGAACTTAGATCAATAGGGAACAACCCTTTATATTATAGATCTTCATACAATTTACCAGAACTGTTATGATAACAAATCAGAAAAAAGTTGAGTGATTCACAAGGTTCATTTGTAAATCAAAGAACTTTAAATCTTCACCTTTTAAATTTAGGTTCTTTTAGAAGACAGTTATTTTTGGGAAGACTAAGGTGCGCCAAGTTAAAATGATGCTGGTAAAATATGATGTAAGTGATCAGAATACGCAATTTTGTTTTGTTTCCATTATGACACATGCCGAGAGAACTGTTCTGAAGAATTGTTGATTAGTTATATATCTTAATCAAAACATTTCACTTCCATGTTTTTTTGCTTCAGTAATATAAACTTTCTTGCTCCAGGTCACCTTCTGTAAGGCTATTAGATGAGCAGCAGAATATGGTTAGTTTTTCTCTTTTGCTTCTGTTTCTATTTGGCAATTGCAATTTAAAGCAGTCTTCTTTTGCTTCACAATTTATTCTAGGTTGGCATAGTTTCAAAAGGTGAAGCAATTCGTATAGCTGAGGATGCTGAGCTTATATTGGTACGCACCAGTAAAGTAGGCTGCAAATTCATAGGTTGTTGTGCATCTGAAATGCTTACCTAATATCTACTTCAATTATGAGAAAAGGAGGATTGGGTATACCCGCTTAACTTATGAGAACTAGTCACTGCTTTCCTTTTTTTTTTTTCTAAAAATTGAAGACTCTTTAGTCCAACATCTTCCTCTCATTGGTTTGGTTTCAAATGAACAGGAATCCCTAAAAAAAGCTCTCTACCTCCTGATTTCTCCTAGCTATTTATATAAGAAGCCATAAAGTCGATTGTACCCTAATCTATTATAGGAGAATGGTTGGGAGCAATTCCCCTTAACCTTGATAGCTGAAGGCATCTATGACCCTAGGAGCTTCTGGGAAAAAGTGCAATTTGGACAGCATGTGCTCGGCTGCTCTACCCTATTTGTTTCTAGTCTCTTGATTCATTAGGATTGGTCTTTGGACGGTTGAGGAGAACCAATGCAAGTTATTTGGAAGTTTGATTTTGGTGTGGTTATTTGACGCAACATGACTTGATTAAGTTTAATTTAACTTGATTAAGTTCAATTTAACTCATTGAGTTTAATTTGACTCATTTTGGCTAGATTAAATTCAATTTGACTCGATTTAGGAACTGAAGGCCAAATTGAACAAATAATTTTTATTAAATAGAATTTATTGATTCAATTTAATCAAATCGAATTATTTCTTAAAAAAAGTGAGCGAATTTGAATTGATTAAATGGAGTCTTGGGCCAAAAATTGAGTTGGAATTAAATTAATTAATTCGCTTAAATTAAATTGAGTTGAATATCTAAAAAATGATTTAACAAGTACTTTGGGTCCATTGTATAAAAAAGATGAATATAGATGAGACTTTTAAGAGTCAAAGAGGATATAGGATGAGTGATATAATGGAAATTTAAAGACATTTCATCAAATTATTATTAGACTCATGCTGTAATGACTCAAAGTTGTATGGAAGAAAAGACAATGCTAACCAATTTGAGTGAGGTATGAATAAAAATGTTAAGATGTTTGCGCAGTGAAATTTGGAAGGATAAATGTAAGAATTGAATGTATTAATGGGACAATTAGATCAATGAGATTGAATGGAAGGATTAGAACATATATAATGGAGGATTGAAGATGCACTAATAAGCTGAGTATATAACTAGTGTGGAAGAATTAGAATGGGAAGGCGTGCATCAATGTTAATATGGCTTGAGGTTATGCAAAAAAAGTACACAAAATATGTTTAACACCTCTTCTAGCACCCACCCAAGTGGAATGAGCCAATCAACATAGTTGGATAATGATTTTGGGCAAAAAACTTCAAAGCTAATGATGTAGGACTATGTGCATAGGCAAATGCAATTGATTAGCAAATTACGCATACATGAGTTGAGCTTTGCAATTAATTAATCTTCTCGCATTTCTTAGCAAAGTCTTAAGTCAACAAGATAGTGATTAAGCTTAGACAATCAATTACATAAGAAAATATTAGGATCATAAAATAGTCACATCAATTTAGATCGTGCTAACGTGGGGCTTTCAAAGAGAACCCCTAATTTAATAATTAGAATAGTCATTATAAGGATCCACTCATTTACACTCTTAATTTGGGCTATGCGGATAGATCTTCATGGTTAAACGATGCCATGATTGAGGGAGGATTAAAAGGAGTGAGGAAGGAAGAGAGTTTACCCACAAAGTAAAAGATACGAAGCAACGTCTGTAGTGTTGGCGGCTGTTTTTAAAAGAAGGACAGCAATTTGACTTCTTCTCTCAAGTCCGAACAACAATCTAGCACCTTCAGAAAGTGTAGGCAGCAATCTAACAAGTTATGGAAATCTGGACAACAAGTTAACTCGTGCTGAAAACTCTGGACAACAAACTGGAAAGTTCTGGACAACACACTAGAAGGGTCTGGACAGCGGGACAACAAGCTAACTCTCGCTGGAATCTCTGGACAGCAAATCAGAATGTTCAGGAAATTTGGACAGTAGTTTTGAGGGGCCAAAATCCTGGAGTAGCAACGTTAGGAGCAACCATGGGGTGAGGAATAACTAGAAAGAAAAAAAAAGAGTGGAAAGGGGAGGGAAAGTGGGGCCGGCGGCTAGCTTGAATTGGGGGAATTGATTTAGGGAATTTAGGAGCTTACCAAACATATATTATTAGTAAAGGAAAGAGGTGTTAAGGCAAGCTTCAAATGAGGGAAGGGGAAGAGGGTGGGGCCGGCGTCTTGCATGAGTGGGGGAGATTGGATTTGGGTATTAAAGACTTGCCAATTCCAGAATAATAATTAGAGAAAGAGAAATTATGGTAAGGATCTATTTAAATTCAAATTGGTATGATTGGTGGGATTTCCTATTATAACTCATCATATTTTAGGGAAAGAGTTTCAAATTCAAATTTGATTTAAATATGAGATTTGAATTTCCAAATTTACAATGAGTTAAATTAAGAATGTATTGAGTACTAGGTTTTGGAATTTGGAGTCAAGTGGAGGGATGATGGCTGGCGACTAAGTGGGGAGGTGGAGCCGGCGATTTGGAGAGGGTTGGTGGGGTTTCTTGGCCAAGAAAGAAAAAAAAGAGGGGGTGGGGGTTTCGGCCAAGGAGAGAAAAGGGGGAGGAGGGGCGTTTGATTAGCGGCTTGGTGGAGGGATTTGGGAGGATGGGCCGGCCGAGCAAGGGAAGGAGAGGAAAAGAGGAAGAGTTGGCGGTGGAGACAAACCACGAGCCCAGACGCTTCATGTGGCTGGTGGGTACTATTTTGTCCTCGCCTAGGGACTTCAAACTCCAAGAATTCTCACAAGAACTCTTAGAACTCACCATGAGACAAGTGCGGGAAATTATCTTCATAATATTTATCATCCTATCAAAGGAGGGTAAAGGGGCTTTAAATATCCTAAATACAATAACATTTCTAAAGACAAAAGTACCCACTGGGGTCAAATAAACCTACTCTCTCAAGTGAGGGTAAAAACGGAAAAGATACATAAATAAATCAAATACAAATAATAGATAAAAAATAAAGTGGCCTAATCGTGGCCGTCGATCTTTGGTTCCTTCTCTGATAAACTTTCTGTGGTCGGATGTCCACATCAGTTAATCATTGCATGTGTTTTTAAATGAGTCATTGAAACTTCAAATAAATCATTAGTGACATTGTACATTTAATCATTGATGTTAATTATGCTTCCCAAGGCTTGCTTACATTGTACATTTAATCATTTACCTTTTGATTACAACTATTCATTTCTTAGATTGATTTTATCATGCAAATATCCATTCTAGAAAAAAAGGTAATTAGTGACATATACATTGGCATGCATCCTTGCATCATCCAAAATACTCCCGCATCTCTTACAGTTTGGCATCTCCTTAGCCTCTTTATTGATCTACAAAAGCCATGAACATAGGTTCCTTGTTTCACTTATGTATGCTGTAGTTGTGCAAACAAAGTAGATCAAATAATGATTAGACTAGGAAAAAGTGTGGGTTCAACTTAAATATAAAGAATGAAAGAAAAAATGGGAAGGGAAATTGCTTTAGGTTGACTTGTCGTAGAATGATAGGAAGAAGCAATAATCTTACTTGAAACTCTTCCCTCACCCCTATTTACTAAATGAAAAAAAGAGGTAACTATGCGCATGCCATTGAAATTATGTATATTTACAAATCTAATACCCATCTCAAAAAATGAACAACGGAACTAGTGTAATTGCACGTGCCACTATCAAATTTTGAGAATCTAACAAAAGTGAAAAATATTAATTGGAGTTTTGTTGTGAATTTTGACATTTGAGTGAGAATTTGACAAATGAAGGTAAAAGAGTAGTGTTTCTATAAATAGGTAAGATTTGTGCTACATAAGAAATTGCACTAAAAATTTGTGCATTTCATAAGCTGCTGATTGTCATTGCTTTGCACTAGGAAGGAAGACCAACTGCACGAAGAATGACACCTTAAATTCATATTTTTCATCCTTTTCTGCATTGCTTATGTCTTCATGAATTCCATGATTTCTTCCATTCTCTGTTTTTCCAGAGCTGATGCACCCGTTGCTGTGCATTTCTCCACTCTGATTTCTCTTGCTTCTTGTTATGGTTCTTTTTTCTAAGCCTAAACACTTCTTTTTCTTTCATTGATTTTCAGCAGCTCTTTTAAAAATCTATCAGGATTATGATAGGAAATACTTGAGTTCTCAAGTAATCCTAACCCAAACCAGTAAAAATTACAGCAGCAAACTGCTGTTCACAGCAGCAAAACAGCAGAAATACAGCAGGAAATAGGGAAACCGGGAAGAAAAACACAAGTAAATGCTTGTATTTCAATAGAAACCAAAGAAAACAGCAAAGATACACTTTGTTCTTCAATTCAAGAGGAAGAACAACTCTCCAACGATCTCCGGCAAAGCCAAGAGCCCAAGAACACCAAACCCTAGATCTCAAAATAATTCAAATTCAAGATGCCCCCTAATTCTCATCATCTCTCCTAATTAAAGACAAAGGACAATTACAAAATACCTAAAATAGCCTTTCAATTCAAAATTTCCCTCCCAAAATCGCATTAAGCACAAGTGGGGCCCAAAGGGGGTTCCGCCCAGCCATGCTTCCGCCTGGAGTAAAAGTGGACCGGTCCCTGTTGGACCGGTCCAGCCGGCCCATCCTGGGCCGGTCTAACAGTACTCCCCTCCCAAAATCTCACCTTGTCCTCAAGGTGAAAATCGGGGAACTGTTGCTTCACAATTTCATAAGGCTCCCAAGTGGCTTCGTAATCCGGAAGATTCTTCCATTTAATCAATACCTCATTGTTTCCTTTTTTATCAATCCTCAATCCTTGCAGCTCCATAGGTTCCATGACCACCTCTAACTCCTCTGTCAAAGATGCTGGTAGCTCTGTACTAGCTACCTGTTCCCCTAATGCTCTCCTCAGCTGAGACACATGGAACACCGGGTGTATGGTAGGCTGGTAGCAGAAGAGGGCAACTTTAGACGATAC